TTATAAAGAAGTAGTCGATCAGTACTGCTTCATACTAGTCGTACAGAGATAGTCATAGAATTACAGTATGTTCCGTTCCAGTACTTTCAATATTTTGGCGATATGTTGTATGACTTTTGCCTATTTTGGTGAAATTGACATAAATGTCAATTTAGTTAATAAATCACTATTATTTATTAGTTTATAATAATAATTTGTCTGTTTACATTTGAATGAATTCAATTAGTGAAAAACACCAATTTTTAGATCGCTCGTTAACATCGAACCAGTCAGAGGACAATAATGAAATTTCTACCACAGATTTAGCGTAACATTTACTTTAATACAGTGAAATCTTGAGTTTGTCCGATTAGTCCCACATGCTTACTTCCCTCGTCGAAAAGAAGACACATCCAAAAATTGCCGCAATTTAAATCGGTATTTTTAACGTCTGACTAATTATAACGGGCTATTATTGCTAATAAGAATTCTTTGAAGGCTTGTTTTTATGTGTGGATAACATGAATGCACCTAGGCAGATATCTTCCAAGATATTATAGTTCAAATCTACGACGAATTTGTATTTTTTCCATTCTGCCAGTATGTTGATCCCCCGTTATTTACGACATCCTTCATTACATACATTAAACGATGTATTGGTTTAGAAGAGCAGTCTCAGATTTACTACTCTACCAATTTTTGTCTTAATATGTTGAGTGATAAACGAGATATTGATGTGCGAATTATGCCGAAATTACAAATTCTGTCAAAATGGCGACTTCCGCCATTGACAATCACGCACTGTTTTGCTTATATTTCCTGAAATACTTAATGTCATTTAACAAAAATTCACACAAATTCTAATTATATAATGATCTAAAAGTGTACCAAAAACCAACTAAATCTGTAATGCTTGTGCAGGAAGTTTAGTCGATTTGGCGTGGAATGACCCACTAGTAGTATTACCCCGTCTGTATAGCGGCGGAAGTAATTAGTATGCAGGAGCGAATAGAGCGCCGGAAGTAATTAGTATGCAGGAGCGAATAGAGCGGCGGAAATAATTAGTATGCAGGAGCGGCGGAAGTAATGACGTCATGGAAACCCGAAAGTAAGGAAATGTTCAAATGGCGTACAACGATGAATATTTGAAAACAATTTATTAAGTTTTACAGTAGTTTACAGTAGAGATTTTGATAATTATAATGTTTTTAGAGTTTGTGCCTGATGCATCCACAGAAGGTTAATTCACCACATTCTAGCGAAAATTCGAATGTCAGCTTGGCCAGTATTTCCTTTAGTATTTCCGTTGTTTGTGAAATTCGGAGATTATTGAAGGAGAAATGTCCAGGCTGTGAAGTCGATCATCCAAGTCAGAGGAGACACGACTGTATTATGTTGTCAGACGAGGAGAGATGGTTACTGCATGGTTTGGGAGCAGTGGAGCGTGTGATTGAGCGTGGAATTGTGAAGAAACAGTTTCTTGAAGCTATTCGAGTGATGAAATTGGAATATTACGGGCGTGCGAAAGAACATGCGAACTTGATAAAAGATCGTGAAGTAACACTTGATTTTTTTGGAAGATTTGAGAGGAAATTTTCCTGATTATCAGCCCATTTTGAACTACCTAGTGTATTGGAGCGAGGAACATTGTGCATAAGGGCACTTTTACGTGTAGTTTAAAGTTGTAAATTTTCAGAACAATATAAATGTCTTAGTTCATTACTTTGCTATAAAAATGTGTTTATATGCAGAGGCGCCGGAGAATCGATAATTGGGGGGGGGGCAGATATTCATATATTCGTGTTCTGCCCAATTAATTTCTTTTGAAATCGATTGTTTTTACAGTCTGTGAACACGAATATATGAATATCTGCCCCCGCTATTATCGATTCTCTGGCACCTCTGTTTATATGTGTCTAGTTTTCAGCCGAGAAAACGTTTGCCATTCCAACCTCTCATTAAAGAGTGGTTTTAATTCGGAAAGCAGGTAGCATAATACCAAAAACGTAGTAAAAATTTATTGAGCTAAAAGACCTATTACTCGTCAATATCATCAACAGTTCATATATACAGCAAGAGATTTGTATCTATGTACGTCATAGACGATTGATGCAATGATTGTGGGACATTACGAATGTGCCTATACGCATGTGAACTGTGCAAATGATTTTAGAGCGAAATAATGTTGCTACGATACTGTTTTGCTTGCATAAATTAGGGGTTCCCTAAGGCTTCCCTCGGGGTACGTATGCGTCTTCGCATTTTGCTCATGCGTCTTCGCATTGAGTTCGCATTTTGCTTCGCATTTTTCGCATTTTGGTTCGCATTTTTCGCATTTTGCTTCGCATTTTTCGCAATTTGCTTCGCATATTTCGCATTTTGGTTCGCATTCTTCGCATTTTGGTTCGCATTTTTCGCATTTTGTTTCGCATTTTTCGCATTAAGGCCCGATCAGGCCCGAAATGGCACTTTTTGGCCCGATTAGGCCCGATGGCCCGGTAGAAGGTATGGCTAAACTCTAATGTCCATTTTTCTACAAGGACTTATTGTTGCAATGAAACAAGGCACAATACAGTTTTAATAAATATTTATTTCACATAAACATTACAACGATTCATCACTATCTGAAAAACGTCCTTGATCTTCTAAAAGCTGTTTCAACAGAAACTTTCTTTTGTCAACCGCTGCAGATAAAGCTTCATCAGGATCAAACGAGTCTTCGTTCGCTAATGTCTCCTTCGTTTCCATAATCTTTCTATGAACAGGATCATTTTTAAGTGCATTCATCCATCGTAAATTATCCACGTAAACGTCAGCGATGCCTCGCCTTATGTCGCCTGACATTATAATAGGACGAAAACCGTTTCAGACATCGATCACACTGGTAAGATGCCATAATTCGCTCTTAAGAAATGAAAAGTGAGAGCTCTCAGAGTGGTTACTTATATAGTGGATATGTGCTTGGTTTGCTTGTGAGACAATACAGATGAAATAGTTTGAACGTCATTGAGAGTACGCATGCGCATTTCGTCTTAAGTACTTTTATTATGAAGGACTAACAGCTAGCTAGGCTGAGATGTTCCGGTGGCCTTTCTTTCTTCGTGCATCTGTTCCTCGAGTCGTAAACATGATCATTATGGCATCTTCCGTAAACTGTTTACATCAATCCTACATCGACTTCCCATCGACCTTACATCCACCTCACCTTGACCTTACATCCACCTCACGTTCACCTCACATCGACTTTTTAGAGATAATTAAATTAAGTCGGACTGGGAGCACTCTCCCCCTGGCGTTAGACAGGGTAGGGCGAGTCCGGGTGCATTATCACTTAAAGGGTTAACAGGGTGTATGGGTAGGTAGTCTGATTAACCCATTGGGTTCTACCGGGCCATCGGGCCTAATCGGGCCAAAAAGTGCCATTTCGGGCCTGATCGGGCCTTAATGCGAAAAATGCGAAACAAAATGCGAAAAATTCGAACCAAAATGCGAAGAATGCGAACCAAAATGCGAAAAATGCGAAGCAAAATGCGAAAAATGCGAAGCAAAATGCGAAAAATGCGAACCAAAATGCGAAAAATGCGAAGCAAAATGCGAACTCAATGCGAAGACGCATGAGCAAAATGCGAAGACGCATACGTACCCCGAGGGAAGCCTTAGGGAACCCCTAATTGATGCAAGCAAAACAGTATCGTAGCAACATTATTTCGCTCTAAAATCATTTACACAGTTCACATGCGTATAGGCTCATTCGTAATGTCCCACAATCATTGCATCAATCGTCTATGACGTACATAGATAGATATAGATAGATAGAAAACTTTATTTAACCACGCTAACCCCGTCAACCGAAGCTGATTTCCACAGGGGGCGTGTATAGAAGAAATTACAGAAGTATAAAATTTAGAATAATTATTTACAAAATATTAGAAATAGTATTAAATAGGTAAAGTATAGTACCGGTACTTAGTAAGTTAGTCTGCGGGAACATCTATTTACAATTACTATTAATGTGAGTAGCGATTTTATTCCTAAAAGAGGCAAAGGAATTGCTTTCTCTAATTTCCTTCGGAATAGAATTCCAAAGGTAGGCTCCGTCATACATGAAACTCTTTTTCATGCTATTTGTACGCGGTTTAGGTAAGCAAAGACTACTCGAAATATCCCGAAGATTGTAGTTTGTCATCTCACCTTTATATGTGAAAAGATTAGTGAGTGACTCCGGACCCATTTTATTTAATATTTTGTACATTAATTTTGCTTTAGCTTTTTGTCTTTCCGTTTTGAGTGGCACCCAGCTCAATGCTTGTAAAGCAACAGAATGTTCTGTGTCATTGCTCATATTCATGATAATTCGAGCAGCTCTATTTTGGAGTTTTTGGAGTCGCTTTGATTGTGTTTCCCCAAACACATCCCATACTTCACAACAATAATCGAAGTATGGCCGAACAATTGCATTATATACAGAAATAAGAGTTTGTCTATCAGTAAACTCTTTTAAACGCCGAAGAGCCGATATTCCTGCTGTTATTTTCTTAACAAATCTCTTGCTGTATATATGAACTGTTGATGATATTGACGAGTAATAGGTCTTTTAGCTCAATAAATTTTTACTACGTTTTTGGTATTATGCTACCTGCTTTCCGAATTAAAACCACTCTTTAATGAGAGGTTGGAATGGCAAACGTTTTCTCGGCTGAAAACTAGACACATATAAACAGAGGTGCCAGAGAATCGATAATAGCGGGGGCAGATATTCATATATTCGTGTTCACAGACTGTAAAAACAATCGATTTCAAAAGAAATTAATTGGGCAGAACACGAATATATGAATATCTGCCCCCCCCCCAATTATCGATTCTCCGGCGCCTCTGCATATAAACACATTTTTATAGCAAAGTAATGAACTAAGACATTTATATTGTTCTGAAAATTTACAACTTTAAACTACACGTAAAAGTGCCCTTATGCACAATGTTCCTCGCTCCAATACATTAGGTAGTTCAAAATGGGCTGATAATCAGGAAAATTTCCTCTCAAATCTTCCAAAAAAATCAAGTGTTACTTCACGATCTTTTATCAAGTTCGCATGTTCTTTCGCACGCCCGTAATATTCCAATTTCATCACTCGAATAGCTTCAAAAAACTGTTTCTTCACAATTCCACGCTCAATCACACGCTCCACTGCTCCCAAACCATGCAGTAACCATCTCTCCTCGTCTGACAACATAATACAGTCGTGTCTCCTCTGACTCGGATGATCGACTTCACAGCCTGGACATTTCTCCTTCAATAATCTCCGAATTTCACAAACAACGGAAATACTAAAGGAAATACTGGCCAAGCTGACATTCGAATTTTCGCTAGAATGTGGTGAATTAACCTTCTGTGGATGCATCAGGCACAAACTCTAAAAACATTATAATTATCAAAATCTCTACTGTAAACTACTGTAAAACTTAATAAATTGTTTTCAAATATTCATCGTTGTACGCCATTTGAACATTTCCTTACTTTCGGGTTTCCATGACGTCATTACTTCCGCCGCTCCTGCATACTAATTATTTCCGCCGCTCTATTCGCTCCTGCATACTAATTACTTCCGGCGCTCTATTCGCTCCTGCATACTAATTACTTCCGCCGCTATACAGACGGGGTAATACTACTCACACTATTTGATAGAAAAACGCATTGATTTAGGAAATGCAATAGCATACTTACACATTTACTACAAAATTTGATCTCAATGAATGAGAATTTGGTACAGTACTCAAAATTATGTCACAATAAATGAATGAGAAATGATACAAATGAGAATTGTGATCAAATTTTAGCATAGTGTATTTTTCAGTACTAAATACAATTCATTCAGATACTTATAATTACTCCTGCATTCAATCTGAGAATACTCCTGCATGACGTTCTGTTTTACTTTGAGTTCTTTGTTGCATTATCCTAGCCTCGGCCATAGCTACAACAATAACAACACTCTAAGTTCTGGGACTTTAACACCACAAATCCCCCATTTTAAGTCCGATTTATTTACCCACTATTGCCCTGCATATGAAACTTGCAATTTTGTTGAATACAAGGTCTAGAGAGACAGTGTGACAAGTGACAACACATTTCCAGTTATAGATAGCTATGGAGTGTTATAGATACCTATGGAGTGTTATGGATATGGGCTAACTTAGTGCATATTTTAGTCTTTGCAACCACTAAGCTAAAATTATGATTGGGCTATTTCGGTTGCTCATACATTGAGAAAGTGCCCATATAGGCGATTTCACTAAGGGACCGCTCATTATTTATTGTACTGGGGGGATTGAGGAGAAACTGGGGGGGGGGCTTTAATTTTTTTAAAACCTGAAAGGGGGGGCTTTGAAAAAACACAGAGAGACGAAATAAGGGGAGCTTTGAAAAGATTTACCAGTTTCAAAAAACATTAGTAGTTTTAAAAATGCATCACAAAACAACTTAACAACAAATAACAATGTTTATAGACCTTTAATATTCATAAATGGAAGCCAAATAAAAAGTCTTTTATGTTCATGTAAATAGACAATTCCCATTACAGACTAATTTAAGAACTAGGCGAAGAGATGCAAATCAAGGCCGGATTTTGGTGAAAATAGTGGGGGAGGTGGAAAAAAATTTAGGGGAGGTGCAGCGATCTAGCTCATACCCCCCAACATCAACGAGGTGAGGTATGATGTAGTGTACATATGTACCAGTGTATTAATGAATTATGATTGTATGACTCCAATCTTGCCCTTCATTACAATTGCTACAAAGTTTCTTTCAAAACATTACATTAAAAGGGACCTGACTCAGAGATGAATGGCTATCACTGTTTCAATTTTACAGAGAAAACTTTCTTACGTCACGAAGTGTAGACCCTAAGATCACATTTTCACTTCTTTCCATCATTGAAACTTTCCCAAGGGGAGGTGCATGACCTTTCAGGTGGAAACATTCTCAGGGGAGGTGCAAAACGATCTCAGTGGAGGTGCGCATCTATCCACACCTCCCCTCAAAATCCGGCCTTGATACAAATAAATCACCACAGCTAGAAAGAGCATACTAAAATAAGTAAATTATTGCAAAGTTTGGTTGCGAAATGTTGTAAAATACGGAAAATATAGCCTTGCAAAGTTTGCAAATTTTGTATACTTTTGTATTGCATGCGAAAATTGCAATACAAAAGTATACAAAATTTGCAAACTTTGGAAGGCTATATTTTCTACATATTTTACAACATTTCGCAACCAAACTTTGCAATTTTACTAATTTTAGTATGCCCTTCCTGGGAATATACTTTTTTTGCTAAGATAAAAAATTAGTCTATAATGGGAATTGTCTATTGTTCCCCATTATCTATTTTTGTTTCTCTAAATAAAGAGCTAGAGGTTTTGTTTCTCTAAATAAAGATAAAGAGCTAGAGGGGGGACCGTAATTTATGTTCTTGTTTTGCCTGTTGGGGGGGGGCTTTGAAAATTTTACTTGTCTTAAGAGGGGGCAACGAAAATTTTTTATAACTGTACAGTTTCTCCTCAGTCTCCCCCTGTACAATAAATGAGCAGTCCCTAAAAAAAACAGAAATTGAGTACGAACAATATTCATACCAAATTCCTTCTCTAGCTGGACAATGCCCTCGCCAATATTTTTCGATAACCAGGCATGCAACCTCGTTCTCAGGGCTTTCATGTGAGGATGAGGGGAGAGACGAGAAAGCCCTGGTCTGGGCCAGTCACATGACTACCCAAAAAATGGCAGTATTTGACAGCTACTCATCAAGGAGTGGCGAGATATTCTTTAATGAAATATAGAAGTCTTCGAAACAAATAAACAGCCAAAACGCTTATCAATCGATATTATTTATGCCGTGTAGCGAAGTTTGGTGCGAATCAGCTGATATCTCTGAAGATCCCCGTCTATGTCTTCTAAGATATACCGATATTTCTGGAGATTTTCAAGTAAACTACTGCTTAATGTCGACACAGCTTTTGAGCTTTGTAACCGGCCTAGGCGAAAGTAAACGTCTTACTTTGAAAGATTATTTTACAAAACATACTCGTACACACAAGAATCATAAAAATACAAATGTTGAATTGTTATTGTCAACTTTCAAGTTCAGTTATTTTTAGACAATATGCTGTTAGCCAATCAGAATGCAAAATTGAGTGGCCCAGACCAGGGCTTTCTCGTCTCAACATTCGTCCTTACATGAAAGCCTTGGGAACGAGGTTGCCAGACATGAGCATCACTCTGATAGTGACACAATTGAAACACTGTACGAAAGTTGACCTGATCCCAGAACATAATATACATACAATTAACCCATTCGACACAATGGTTTTAACCCATTCATGGGAGACCCTAAGCAAATAAAATCATCTGGCATCAGACAGAGTCAAGTAATAAAATAGAGCATATTGGTGCCCAATGCAATTAATAAATCAAATCAAGAGGAGGCAGTTAAATGTATTCAATTTTGGAAGTGTGACTTAACTAACCTTGTGATTCGATACTGTAAACCTCCAAATATAAGCCCCCCCCCCTCCATAAGCCCACCACATGTACTGACGCTCACCTCATTCCAAATATAAGCCTCCCTGAATACCAGCCCACTTGTTTATCACTATTAAATTAATCACTATTATTACGATGCTTAACACTTGTTTATCACTATTATGGTAATACTTGTTTATCACTATTACACTAACACAAAAGATCGTCCATCTATAAGTCCCCCC